TTCTTTCTTTCTTTCTTTCTTTCTTTCTTTCTTTCTTTCTTTCTTTCAAATGAAAGAAATGCCTGCGAAGTCAATGGGGGATACAGGAACAAAGAGGGGCTTCGATGAGAGAGGAAAGGCGTGAGTTAAAAGTTTAATGAGGACTAGGAATGCTCTGTGGGTTTGTTTTGTGTGAAACAAGTGGAGGTGGGGAGGAAGTTATAGTTTAGGGTTTGGGTGATTGGAGGGGGAAATGGGATGGGAGGCAAAAAGGAAAACCATGTTAAAATAAGAGGTTAGTTTATACATTTGGTTATGTGACTGTGGTAAAAATATCCTTCCTTCCTTCCTTCCCTCACTCCCTTTGCTTTTTCCTTCTTTCCTTCCCTCCCTCCCTCCCTCCTTCCCTTTGCTTTCTTCTTCCTTCCCTCCCTCCCTCCTTCCCTTTGCTTTCTTCTTCCTTCCTTCCTTCCTTCCTTCCCTCCCTCTTTCCCTTTGCTTTCTCCTTCCTTCCCTCCCTCCCTCCTTCCCTTTGCTTTCTTCTTCCTTCCTTCCTTCCTTCCTTCCTTCCTTCCTTCCTTCCTTCCTTCCTTCCTTCCCTCCCTCCCTCCCTCCCTCCCACCCTCTTTCCCTTTGCTTTCTCCTTCCTTCCCTCCCTCCCTCCTTCCCTTTGCTTCCTTCCTTCCTTCCTTCCTTCCTTCCTTCCTTCCTTCCCTCCCTCCCTCCCTCCCTCCCTCTTTCCCTTTGCTTTCTCCTTCCTTCCTTCTCTCCTTCCTTCCTTATGTCTGTTTATTTGTATATCATTTATACTTTTTCCATTCTTTCTCTTTTCTCTTTCTCTCTCCCTCCCTCTCTTCTTTCTTTCCATTTTGCTTGTCTTTTCCTTCCTTCCTCCCTCCCTCCTTTCTTTCTCTTTTCTTTTTCTCTTTCTCCCTTTCTTTCTTTCTTCTTCCTTCCCTCTTTCTTCCTTTCTCCTTCCTTCCTTCCTCTCTTCCTCTCTCTCTCTCCCTCTCTAAACTTGTATTAAATGGGGGGGAAAAAAATACCCAACCCTTCTAATACCCAACAAACAAGGCATAATTTCCTCCTGGCCTCTGTCCTTGCTTGCAGAAATCCGCCGCCGGGGGTCCAAAGACCCCTTTGTGGGGAAAGCCGTCCTGCTCCTGGGTGAACCAGGGGCCAAGGGAGACACGGGGGTCAAAGTGCCAGCATCCAAACCCCTGCAGCTTTACGATACCCCTTACGAACCGGCCGAGACGGGCTCCCAGTTCGAGACACGCCTCCCTTCGAGCGACGAACGACCGCCGGCCGAGTACGAACAGCCCTGGGAATGGAAGAAGGAGCAGATCATGAAAGTCCTCTCCGGTAAGTAGGGAAAGAGGAGGGCCAAAAATTGGGCAGGGGGGGAGGGGGGGAAATCGTATCGCACAAAAATGATAGATTTGTCCAGTGGGGATTTTCCTGCAGGGGGATCAGTTCAAACAGAGAAAAGCGAGAAAGATACAAGTGGAAGGAGGCTCCCTTGGGCCGTTTGTTTAAATCAGGGGTCCCCAAAGTTTGCAACTTTAAGACTGGTGGACTCCAACTCCCAGAATCCCCCAGCCAGCATGCTTTAAGAAAGGTGGACTCCAGCTCCCAGAATCCCCCAGCCAGCATGGTTTAAGATGGGTGGACTTCCACTCCCAGAATCCCCCAGCCAGCATAGTTTAAGATGGGTGGACTTCCACTCCCAGAATCCCCCAGCCAGGGTGCTTTAAGAGGGGTGGACTTCAACTCCCAGAATCCCCCAGCCAGCATGGTTTAAGATGGGTGGACTTCCACTCCCAGAATCCCCCAGCCAGCATGGTTTAAGAAGGGTGGACTTCCACTCCCAGAATCCCCCAGCCAGCAGGCTTTAAAATGGGTGGAGAATTTTGGGAGTTGAAGTCCACAAGTCTTAAAGTTGTCAAGTTTGAAACCTCTGGTTTAAAATCCTGGTTTCTTTATCATTTAAATTTGCTTAAAAAATATGATGCCCTCATTTCATTGGTCAAGGGAGACAACCTGCTTGGGACCCAAACCCTGTTTCTGTTTCTGCATCATCGGTGCCTAACCAGGGAATCTCGGCTTGTTCATGTCCCTGAGCCATCAGGATATGAACAAACCCTGCCTTTGGCTTTTCATCCTGGTTTGTTTGCAAAGGAGGTTAGTTTGACCCAAGCCTGAAAGATGTTTGGGGGGAAATCCCCCCCCCCCTTGTTTTCACAACTTCCTCTCTCCTTCGCAGTGCAGGGTTCGGAGAAACTCGTGACGGCCGCTGAGACGTCACCCCAGCCCCACCCTTGCCCAAAAAACTGGCCATCCAAGATGGTGAAGTCTCCCACGGGGATCGAACCGGGGATGGATGGAGGAGAGCGGGTGGATTCTGCCCTCGTCTTGGAGAAACAGCCGTAAGCCATCCAGGATTTGGTCTACCTTCCTTCTCAAATCTTACCTATTTGTGTCCTCAAAAGTGTTTGTTTATCTTGGCAAGTTTAAGAAGGGTGGACTTTAACTCCCAGAATCCCCCATCCAGCTTGGTTTAAGATGGATGGACTTC